CTCCTAAGACACACCTGGCACACGAAATGTAGAGCGGGGCCCAAACCGCCGGTGTCGCCGGTCGCCAGGTCCCCCGACTCTGGCGAACACGCCTCCGCCCACGCGTCCCCAATCCCCTCCACCGCACTCGAACCGACGTCAATCCGTCCGCAACTGCTGTCGTGCCGTGAGTAGCAGCACGGCGCCACCGCCCAGCTCCCGTCGCTCCAACCGGCCGCCACCATCGCCACAACGACAATGCCACGGCCTGGAGGCACAAGGTCCTCCCCGTCCCCGGCAACGACCGCCACCGAGAACGCCGACATGGACGTTATTGGAACTCCCTCTCGCTCGGACGGTACGCCGCCGAACCCTTCCTCCCGTGCCGGCCAACTGCGGAAGGGGCACCTCCGGATGCTGCTGCTGTCTCTGCCCCTTTTCCCACCGTGCTCTTGTTGCTCCTGCTGCTGCTGTCGCTGGGGTATCTGTGGGATACCGGAGCACCGGGACGTGGGAAAAGGGACTGTCGAATGGGAGTGGAGGGCTTTAAAAACAGTGTCGCTCCGTTCCAACGTAGGTGATTTCGAAAGTCAAACAGTTTTCGCTCTGCCAGGTTTTCGCAAAGTGTCGACGCGCCGGTGTGGGCTTGTGCTTTTCCTCGTGACATTCCGCGCTCAGAACCGCAAACATTCGTGCATTTTCTTGTACATAGTTTTGTTCACACGCAGACATACGTTTGTACACGACAAGTGAGCAAAACACACAGATTCATGAGCACGTTGGGGACGTTCATACACGGCGCACCGTTTGTATGCAGTGCGCTTTCCTGGTGTACCTTGGAGTCGAGTTCAACTTTCATAGATATTTCGACAATTGTGTAGCCTAAAGTCTCAACTACAATGTTCCGTAGTGTAGACTTAATCTCTCTCACCTTATGTGGAACCAACAACGCGACACAGCTTACGCATCAGTCGACCGGACCAGCCTGTAGAGGCAAGCTCACCTGCAGCGCAAGCAGCGTGACCCGGCCTCCCACCCCCCCTACGGCGACCACAACCTCTTCCGCGTCATCCCAGTAGTCATCCCCTGCGGCGGCAGCGGCGGCGGCGGCGTCTGTCCAAGCCCCGTGCGATCCGCTTGCTGCTGCTGCTGCTACTGCTGCTGCCGACGACGACAGCCCGGCGTCCCCTCCCAAGCTTGACCGAGTCGCGCCTCCGCCCCCGCCCCCTTCTTGACGCGAACGGCAATGACGGCCTTGGCTGGGGAGCGCTAGCCGGGGCACTACCGCCAGGCTGGTGAGAAGGATGGGCAGTCCGGTGGCCACGTGGAGGGTTTCTCCCGAGAAGGGGTCGACGCAGTGGACCTAAGCGCAAAAGTCAATGAAAGCACGAGCTAATCGCTGCCGCTTGGAAGAAAACGTAGCGCGCGCTGCGGCCACACTCACAACAGCGCGGACCGCTGTGAATGATGAACCGGCGTCATGTCCGAGCATTCGTGACCACATAGTTCCAGCGGATTACTTTTCACCAGCGTCGGCGGCTCTGAGTGTAAGTACCGTTGCGAGCAGTTTGCCGGTTACAACAGGTGGGCGGGAGCTATCTCTCGCATACTGTCCCTACCCGTGGTATCAAGAAATGTCCTGGCTTCCAATGCCCAACAAGCGTCTGAATTATGTAGCCAACAGAAAGTCAACCAGAGCGGACTAGAGCCGTCCGCGACAGAAGCAACAAATAGAGACCAAAATGGCCGGTCGACGCCATCACAACCTAACGCGGAGAGTTCTACAGCTCGAACATGTTTGTGCGCCGACCCAGAATGAAACAGCCATCAGACATTATTCTCTCTGAAGCAGATCATAGCCGGGCAAACGGGGCCCGCGTATAGCAAGAGAGAAGCAAGAACACGGACCAATGACATCTACACGTAAAAAAACGAACTTGGGCTAATAAAAATTTAGAGACAAGCCGCAACGCAAAATGGAGCAATAAGCACAGGGACCGATCGAACCCCCGTCACCAAACAGGCTGCAACACCGCACCTCCGAAGGAAGTTCGCGCTCAGAAGCAAGGCACACCAGGACTGTCCGGCCGTCCCTCAGCTCGAACGCCTCCACGGCACGAACCGACAGCTTTCCCGCCGCATTTCTGGAGGCCCCGCCGCGTTTCCTCGGGAAACTGCCACTCCCAACGCGAGAAAAGGTAGGAGAACCACGCCTCGATCCCCCGCCAACCGGCGGCGATCCCGCCGAGACGAGTTGCCCATTTCCCGGTTGAGGAGAAATGTCCGCCGCGTCCTTGGGAGAGCCCGTTGTACCGGGTTTTGATGCTATTCTTGTGGCAGCACCTGTCGTGCTCGTGATGACAGACGTAGAATCTGTCACGCAGACGCTTTGGCCCATGGCTCCCGAGCCCAGGGCAAGATTCTGAGGCTGCAGAGGCTTCGCCCGCTTGTTCTGCGGGAGCAGGACCGTTCCGCGAACTGGTCCTCGTTCCCGTTCCCGTTCCGGCTCCGAGAGGAAGCGAAAGAGGGCCTGTACGGGCAGGCCAGTGGTCTTGTGCCCCGCGTGCGGCTCGAGACGGGCGGTGCTGTGAACGCGCAACTCGTTGCCGTGCGCCGACCAGCAGAGCTGGGCAAGAGACAAAACACGGGAACAAAAACTAGCTAAACGGCGGCAGCCGGAGGGGTGGGTGACAGACGATGCCGCACCCTCTTCAAAACTGCACCTCCGAAAAGTTGTAAATAACTGCTGTTGACACCAATCCTACTGATTCATCACTCAATTACAGCAGACTTCTCGTATGCAGAATGCAGATGCATATGCAAGTGATAAACCTCAATATGGGTTACCACACGGGTGGTATCTTCCGCAACCTTACTATATGCATACCACAAACTCAAAAAAAATGAGGAGTACCTTGTCTCTACTCTTTCGTGCGCGCAACACACCTGCATTACTAACCTAGCCATGATTCTTGGCACGTCTACTCCGAGAACAGACAACACGATGAGCATACACGCATGAATGGATGTGCTTTGGGCACGCGGTCGCTGTGCAAGACACGCACAACACGCGGTCCGCGAAGAGAACGATTTCGCCTGGAATTTTTTGAATCACATCAGAACTGCTCCACACCGCAGCAGCTTCATTTCCTGTGAACTGCATGCGATAAGGTGCGACATACCTCAGGAGATATGACTCCGGCGAGAGGACCGGAAGAGACCATGCCTGCGGGTGCCCGATGCCTGTTTTGTAAGCAACAGCCGGGCTGAACTGCCGATGCTGTGATCTAGTGTCAACGGAGACAGCAAGCAACAGGCGGATTGACTACTTTCGCGCGCTCTCTGAAAAATGGGAGCAAAACTGTGCAGAGAAGCCTCGCATGCACTTTGGGCTTGTGGGGCGGTACTCTGTGATCAGTTGGGCCGAGACACCGCGGGTGAGTGGCTGGTAGTGTGCCGCTACTGCTGTGCCTTTCGTGCTGTCGTGCGCTTGGCTCGCCGTTTGGTGGTATCCTCTCATAAACATCTCCCCCCCGTCTTCATACTAGCTGCGGACGCCCCGATCAAATTTGGTTGCGAGTTGCAAACCAATGTCGAGCAGCGATCATCCGCAGCAGGCACAATTAACGGCTCCAACAACATTAGGCATTGCCAAGGGTGGTTGTTTCTGCGGTGTTTGTTCCTGAGACGAAGCCGAAGTTCTTGTGACACGGCAATAGGAGAAAGTTTCTTCTTGACAACAAAGGTCTGGGTGCAGCAGTGCATAGACTATACAGCAGCAGCAGCAGTGTCCCAACATAGCACGTGCTGGAGATGGACATCGCGGAGGAGAGAGTGGCCGGCAGCAACGCGGTGGTGGGCGTGAAGGCCACCTTCAGGGTTCAAGGGAAGACCGTACACCAGTTCGACTCTTTCGGGAAAAAGGATTCGACGGCGGCTGCTGCTGTTGCTGCTGCTGCTGCTGCTGCTGCTGCTGCTGCAGTTGTTGGGGAGGAGGTGAGAGCCGGTGTGTGTACCATGGGCAACATGTAGATTCGCTTGGTGGTGGAGCAATCGATCTGAAGGTCGGCCTCGGGTGTGTGCGATGAACCACACACCTTCGGTAAACTTGTCAGCACTTGGCGTCCACCTCATCGTCGTTGCTTCCCTTCAAACTTGATTGAAAATGTACACGGGGAGCACCAAGCCAGAGCTGCTGTGGCTGAGAAAAGCATGCAGCAGTAGCATGATGTATGCGAAAGTCCTTGGGATCAATGGCGTCGCCTCCCACCCTTCAACCGGTGTATTACGTAACGAGGCATGCGCAGCCGAGCAGTTGGCACGTAGACCGTCGAGATTTCAATACTTGCCAATTTGAGCTTCGGCCTTCCATCGACGCGGCATATCGCCCTTTCACTTCAAACAACCCCCCAAGTATTTACCAACTTCCCCACTCCCGACGCGGCATGTCGCCCTCTCTACAACAACCACCTATTTACCAATTTACTCATCCCCATCCGTCCCATATCGGTCATGGAAGGGTCCCATGGAAGGCACGGACAAGTATAACTACCGGTATACCGGGCGACACGACCATGGCACTCTCCCGGCGCTCAAGACCGGCGGCTCGCACGGGGAGCTCGTCAAAGCCATCCACGTGAGTTCTCCACCGTGACGGCAGAATCCTGCTGCGTTTTTGTACCTGGCCGTGTACGGTGTAGGTGATGATGGTAGGGTTGTTGTTGCTGCTGCCGTTGTATTGTTGTGCGTTGTGTTTTGTGGGTGGCGCTATCGCTGCGGTCATATAACCCGAGGAAGGAACGATTGGCCATCGGTGATTGGTCCTGCGGGAACAATGCTCCGTCCTATCGAGGACGCGTGTTCAATGGTCAATCCGCTAATGCATGCAAAACACAAGAGCACGCCCCCCCACCTTACACCCTCTCGAAGACGCGTGGTCAGCTGTCTAGCTAACAGCTAAGGCTGTTTCCTTTGCGCGTGCATCACGTGCGTCTCGTTTCCCAGCGTCCTGTCCGCCAAGCCAAACGCTTTTGGTATCTATCATATTCCCGCCTACCCCCTCAACCGCGCGCTCCCGAAAACCCCGATCATGGTGCCCCCTCCTTGTGCATCTCGGGTAGGACGCAAAGGCCGATAGCGATGCCTTCCTGACGGAATTGCTAAACAAGGAGGCGAGCGCTAGAGATAGCAATCGCACCGAGGCCGAGCCGGGGGGTGCTGGTCTAGGCGGGAAGCCGCGCGCCACGACTGGCGAAGCGATGGAGCTGGAGCCGTGTGGAGCCGGAGGGGGGCCTGAGGCGTCTCCGCAAGGGGGCGCGCTGGTGAGTCCATTGCTCGTCGACACCTTTCTTGGCGCGACGAGTCTCTAGTTTGCTTCCGAGGGAGCTCGTCGCGTTTGGAAAAGCCACAATATGAGAATGGTGATGGAACAACCCCCTGTGGGTCGTACACGGGAACGGCACGAAGCTGCCTTGATGCCCATCGGCTTGTGCTGGCGTGAGACAAGGCGACCTACAAACTAACGATACATGATCCTGGCTTCATACGCATCAGCTTGTAGATTGGCCAACGTGACCTTTCACCCAGAAGACGAAATACCCCGTGGGCTGTGTAGGGGTGAAAAATTCCTTGGGCCGACACGGACGATGTGTTGGCGTTTAGCGCACCCTTGTTTCCTACTGTAAGCGAGGAATGCCATAACCCCTCCCACCCCCGTATCTCTCCCGTTCTCCCTCTGTCTCTCTGTGCGTCTGCTTCTGTCTTTCTCTGCTTCTCTCTCTCTCTTTCTCCCCTCCCCCCTCCCCCTCTCTCATGTTGTTCTCGCATCGGCTGTTGGTCATCACCCCCTCTCAATAGCAGCCGCCGACACCACCTGAAGCACAACTGGCGAAGCGACCAAGACCATGACGTCACATCTACGTCGCCTGGGATGGATTCACAACTCTGTTTCGAGGGGGCCAGAAATTGAATCTGGGACGACCCATGCGCTCTGTGCTTCTTGACAGGCAGAGCAATGCGTTACCAAGATTGGCTGGGAAGCTAGCATATTTTGCCTCAATGTTGTTGCGTGTCGAAAGCCTAGACGTGTGCCAGCTAGCGGCTCGTTGGCGCGAGCTACTTTAGTCATGGGGTACTGCGGGCCTCGGTGTTTGGCATTAACACGGGGGCGAAATAACGAACGGAGGCAGAGTTTGGTGAAACGGGTTGCCGACGGATGCGAGGTTGGACCTTACAGTAGAGCCTACCCACCTACGACAACGCAAGAACTCGTTTTTGCGTGTTGTGTTCGTAAAAATACGCTGCTGTTGCACACGCCGCGCGACGGGAGTTTTTAGCCCAACTGATCCATAGGTTGCACGCTGCTAAACGGGTAGAGAGCGTAAGAAGGACAGCTGCACCGTTCGACGTAGACACACATTCTTCCTCTCATTCTGCAGCTGATACGCCTAACCTGGACAAGTCCCGAGACGTCGTGCCGGATGCCAGCTGTGTGCCAGACAGGCGGACAAATTCTGGTTTCGACTACAGTACTACCGTGGTGTTCTTTGAGAATGCCCCCGTGGCCTCGAAAATTTGTTCATGTTTACCGACCACCTTCGGGAAGTTCTCAATGGTACACACACATGGGAGAGAGAAAAAAAAGAGAAAACACATCACCCCTGGGCGAAAAGTCCACGAGGTGCTGCTATTTTCCTGTTTTTTCTTTACGATAAAGCCTCACACACGGACCTCACAAACACATACTTTCGCCGTGGACTTTTGTCGCTGGAACCCACGATGTCGGGTCTAAGCATCTAGGCGAGGGCATCCGCAGGAAGCGGAGTGTGCTGCCCCCCCCCGAGAACAATGAATCAGATGACAACGTTCTCTCCGGGGAATACGGGCCAACTGTGCCACCTGGTGCTCCGTTGGCCCAGCGATACCATGCAGTGCTTTGGTGTTGAGTATCGGCACACCTTCGACAGCGCCACTTGGTGTGCGTCTGTCATCAGTAAGACTAGCCAGGAACACGGACTTGTCGCAGAAGCATTGGGAAGTCCTAAGATAGAATACTTCAAGCTTGAGGGGGGGGTGTCCCCAAGCACTGTACCCCCAAGACTTGAAAACCAACAACCTAGAAGTTAATGGCCCATCACAGGAATATTTACACGAAGTAAACTTCCGGCGCCGAATGTACACACCATTAACTGTCTCAAACCTATCAAACAACTACCTGGTAACAAGGTCCTTGTGCACTTCTGCGTGCCGTAAACACCAGCTCACGCAAGCACACGCAATGGAGAGGGAAAAAGCCAACAAAGGCTCTACATAATGTACCACGAAAAAAACAAAACTTCTTTCGTCCCCCTCCCGGGGGTGTGTGGGGGGGGTCGGGTAGGTGTGCGGGGAGATGTTTTTTGTGCCCCCTTGGTTGTACTGGAGATTTCAGTGTAGCTGTTTCCCGACTCATTTTGAAATCTACAATGTTATGTTGTTCTTCGTGTGTGATGAGTGTAGGTTAAACGCGTTGAAGGGGAGGGGGGTACATAGGATAGTAGGGTAGGAGTGATGCTGATTTGCAGCATTGGAGTTTATTCTTTCTTGTGTGTAACGTATCAGCGAGGCAAATGAACAGGCGGCGGTCAGCACAGCAGTACAGTCACTGTAGTTAGACTAGAACTTCCCTGTTTTTCTCGAAGAGTGTTGTCGAGACCGTTTGCAGCGTGACTCAGCCATGTTGTAGAGCATCCTTCATGAAGGGCAGCAGCAGCAGCAACGAGTAGTAGTCGATAGTAGTGGATCTTAACCGGTACACGACGAAAGGTACACACGCGTTGTATCCAAGTACACACCTGGGAGTTGAAACGCAGCAGGAGAAGGTCAAGGCTCCTCTCGGGAACGATTTTTCAATTCGGTAACGATTGGTACGGGGATCAGCGAACACGGTAATAATACACGGTAATATTTGGGTGGTAACTGGCCATCATGGTAACGTTTGGGTGGTGACTGGCCACCACGGCACTCCACGGAAATAATTGGGTGGTAACCGCCCAGCACGGTGACTCCCGTAAGGGAACTAGCCACCACGGGAATGCACGGTAATATATTGGTGGTTAGTCGGCACTACGGTAATGCCGCGGTAACGGGCCACCACGGTAACCCACCACGCTAATGCACGGTACTTACGTAGGATGGGAACACTTCTTAAGCGATGCACTGCATGCATCTGTGTTGCGCTTTTTTTTTCAGTGCGCGTGACACCCAAACAGCGCGTGACACCCAAATACGAAACACACGAATGGAACCTATCGCACTTCGCTTTTCAATTGTTTTGGGACAAGATGCGAAAATCTCGTGGTTGAGTTACCGAAAGACGAGGCGAAAGACAAAGGATAAGACAAACGAACAACATCAGTACTTCCAGAGCGACATCTCGAAATATTCATCACTTGATCACTAATCATACCTTTCTCAGCCACGGGAAGACAGAACGCACCAAACTTATCTGCCAGACGATGCTTAAACCACCAGCAACCACGTACGTACACGCATGTCGAGCTCAACGACAAGCATAGTGTACCGTATCTGCCTCACACCGCAGGCAAGCAGTTCACAACAACAACAAACAAAAAATACACCGCACTATGGCAATGCTCAAAACCAATTCAGAGACTCAAAAAGAAAAGGTTCATCTTTCGTTCAATGGATCGATGCTGCAGAAGAGGGATAAAAACGAAGAGAAGAGCAGAAAAGTGAGCGACGGTGTGGAGCGCTGAACGCGGCGGGTTTGGTGCTCCAAGCTTGCAGAAAGCCCCGTCAGCTGTGTGTACGATAAACAAACGTGTTTTGATCCCGTACAATAGCGGGAGTTCTAGATCCCCCCGGTAATTGGTTGGGTGGTATAATAACCAAGAGCCACGGGATTTCGACATTTTGCACGGTAATTGGTTGGGTGGGAACAACGGGATTTCACGTCCTTGGTAAGGATTTCGATGGGAATGGGAGAAGGCCATTTGCTCGGTAATTATTTGGAAGGGTACGGCAACCAGGAATTATCACGGCAACCGTACCAATTACCGTTCCCGTGGAAATCCCGCGGGAAAGTACCGCGGAAAATTCCCGAGAGGAGCCTTGGAGAAGGTGGCGTCAGCTGGGAGGTCAATGTGGGTGAACGGCTTTGCACGAAACTCGATACAGCCTTCCCGCCTTGCCTCAATATTGGAGGAGAGCTGTGCATGTGCTTCTTTTTATTAGAGGGAGGAATGCGTGTTCCAAAAAAAGAAAAGACAGCGATGGCAACGACAACATTTTTGACAGCAGTTCATATGCTGCGAGAGTCGTGGGTTGAAATTTCCCCAGGATAACCAGAGGCAGGCCCAACAACATCCTCGATGATAAGAGAACGAACGCCCCACGAAATGAAATAAATGTGAAAGTATTTTAGAGCGTAAGCAGAATCTCACAGAGACTGCCCGTTCGAGACAGACTTTGACCCCAGTCGAAAGGGATGTGTCAAAGTCTTCACACAGAGTAGGGAAACCGGCTGGAAATTGGGCTTATTTTGAGATTGTTTGAGCCTAGACTACACACTGAAGAGTTGCATTAGTGATGCCAGCTGGTGCTAAGAACAAAGTTTCGCATCTCCCCCGTGTGGTTCTGTGTGGGGGGGGCGTTCTCAAGAACGGCATGCTCACGGAGGATAAGGATTCAGATCATCCAGAGCACCTCCTCGGCAGGAGCCGACATCAGATCCGCGCCACCAAACCCGTGGTTCTTCCACTCTCGTCTCCGCGTGCTACTGTTACGAGATCTCCAGCAATGGCATCAGCACATACCGCAAGAATACCGTCGCAACAAGGGAGGAAGGGGGCGTGGGGGGCTAAAACAGCGACATGATCAGCTGTTGAACAACTCCAGAGAGATGGCTCTCAATAGCGCTCCTGACACCGACCACGTCGTCACGTGAAAAGGGACGGTTATCGCCACAGGTCCCCAGACCTTTTCCTCTTCTGTGTTTCTTTCCCTCGGGGACAATTTGAAAGTCGTGCTTTTTCGCCAGTGCAACCCAACAAACTCTACGGAACACTAACCGATGCCTGTTGATGGTGGTCGGGAAAACTACAAAATCGTTGCGGCTTGGCTTGGGGGGGAAAACAAGACACGCCCCTACGACCAACGCCACTACCGGGGTGTGCTGTCGAGATTGTGCACACCCACACCCTTCCTTCCCCACGGACGCAATCTATCCATACAAACAAAAACAGCGACTACCGCAATGCATGCAAAAGTCTTCGCGCTCAACGAACGTCGGAACGGCTGAAATCCAAGAACAACCACCATGATTAATACCGAAAACGGGGGGTACACCCGTACTCCGTTTGCACCCCGCCCGTCGCCCCTAGATCCCATCAACGTCAATGGAACAGCAACCAACGCTGTGGCATCAAATCAAGCTCGGACAGGTCAACAACCAACTAACCAGTAGCTCTTCTATATATTGTACGCGGTCATCAGGTGAATTTTGTTCCTGAAAAAAACATATTTTTCTGCTGAATAAGTACAATATTTTGGCGCATCGTTTCCACATCGGAAAAGTTGAGGTCATGCCTCTAGGGGAACAAAGAGCAGACATGAATGTAGCCACCCATTGTCAACCTTCCTCAACCCACCGGTTCTAATCTCCGTTTATGAAGCGGTCAGCTTCGGTCCCTTCAACCCCCCCGCGCTTCCACCAGCCCACCAATCAGGTACTCAATGTTACATGTTAGGCCGCATTTGGGTCTCGTCTCTTTCGGGAAAACATCACCAGCAACATGTCAGTGCGACCATTTGACTCGCGAACGTACGTGCTGTCAACAAATGACACAACGAGAGCCCGCCATCACAGGAGAACAGAAACAAACGCACCGTTCGTTGCTTCTTAAGCGGAGGGCGCACTTCTATCTCTCGTCTGTCCATGCCGGCACATTCTCGCAAAGCAATGTGTCTCCTTCACGTAGAATGTGTGTTACCCGACATCGAAGACTTGCTCTAACTCCCAAGATATATCCAACCTCTCCTCCTTCCAGACCACCATGCGAGCAGATCAATGAACAAACGGGTTCCGAGCGCGTTATCTATTCCCTCCCACGCGGAATACCTGAACACGTCGCGAGAAAAAGCAAGTAACCGTACGCCCCCTTGTCTGCGCTCGCCACGAAGACTTCCCACAAAATAAAATCTCCCCTTCTCGTCGACGTTTCTCTTTTTCTCTTTATTGATTCTATGGGGGAAGCGGCAGCAACACGTAGCAGCTACGCGTAGTGGCGCTTATTTCAATAACAATACCGACAGGTTTTCTACAGGACTTCCTTCTTCTTGATTGCAATCACAACATCAAGGACAAAAACGAAAAATACAACAACAGGGGGATTTTGAGACAGACCAAAGGCAGCCCGTGAAGAGCAGTCCCAAAAATCAATGTCGAGCGCTCCCAAGAGGACCAAAGGTCGAGTTGCTATTTCCGGTTCACCCAAACGCATCACAAGCGGACGGTACCAGCACTTCCTCAAACCACCATCTACGACTCAGACAACAAACACGCACACAGGGACACCTACTCTGAAGACTACAAGCTGTTGACGCGAGCAAAGACGCTGACGTAAGCACGCTACTACAATGCAAACCACTCATTTGACAGCAACAAGTACGAGGATTTCTAACATAAGCCAATCTTAAAATAATGACTAAAACAGCGAAACCCTAACACCAATAACAACGCTCCTTTCTAACGGAGAGGCACTGAACAGCGGACAACCAACCTCCAGTTTGTCCACGGTCGAATCAATGTACTGTCGTCACGATTGAACAGGATGAAGAAGAAAAAACGAAGAAGAACTTCGCGTGTAGGAACCACGCCGCAAAAGAGACAAGCGACGACGGCTGGAGGGGGCGACCGCGTAGACAAGCGGTGAAAACAGCTACCCGGCACACCATATCACGACACACACAAGAGGGGACCGAGCCCTGCATGGCCCGGAACGGGGCCGATGTATTTCGTTTCTTGCAGCAGTCGGCCGCATACTACTCCCTCCTCCCCCCGTCTCTCTGTCAGCCCTACTCCCCTTTCCTCCCCTAGCTGACGGTGCGCACTCAGGCAATGTCACACCACATCCCGTGCTTGCGCCACCCAGCGCGCACGCACCTAGAGCGAATCGAGCCCGTCGAGGTCGTTGCTGTCGCCGCCTGGCTGCTTTTCCGCCCAGCGTCCGTCAGCACCTGCCTGATTTCCCGCCCAGTTACCGTCCCCACCTGCCTGATTTCCCGCCCAGCTGCTGTCTCCACCGGGCTGACTTCCCGCCCAGCCAGACGCCGACGCCAATCCGGCCGCGAACCCATGCTCGTAGGAAGTAGTCGGAGACACGGATCCCGGTAATGGTGCCTCTCCGTACGCCGGAGGCGGGCACATTGAGACTCGTCGAACTGCCTGCGCCCCGAGCTGTGGCTGCCCAGCGGGGGCGGCGGCAGCGGCGGGCGGGAAGAGTCTTTCCAGGCGGTTGCTATTGTGGTGGCGCGGTGGCTTGAGCATGTTCTGGGAGAGGTTTGAAGCGGCAGCCGCGGCGGCCTCCGTGTGGCCGAACAGGAGGTCCCCCATCACGGCGGGATCGTCGGTCGGCTGCTGCTTGTTCCCGTGCGCGAGCTGAACGCTGGCGCTGCTGCTGACGCTGCTGCTGCTGATGCTGGAACGGTTGTCGACGACCACAGCAGCACCGCTTCCCGCCCCGCCGCCGCCGCCAGCGTGCGCCGCTCGGGGTGGTCTTGACGGCAAAAACGTCGCGCTGCTCGAGAGTTCCTTGGCTCGAGGCGAGCCACCTCCGCCGCCGCCGCCGGCGGGTTTGCTCCTGCGGCGATGATGATGCCGCGAGGCTCCGCCGCCCTTGCCTTCGTCCCGAGCCGCCGCCCCGCCCGACGCCGCTTTCAGCAAGTTCTCGGCCCTGGCCAGAGAGGCGGCGGCGGCGGCGGCAGCGTCGTCGGGGCCGAACAGCAGGTTCCCGATGACGGCGAGGTCGTGCCTCTGTTGGCTGCACTGGGGTCCCAGCCCGTACATGGTTCCTCCTGCGCCGGCGAGGCCGCCGCTGGCGAACGGGGTCATCAAAGGACCACCGAAGCCGCTGGCTCCGCCACCGCCGCCGCTACCGCCGCCGCTGTTGCTGTGGCCGGACGCCGAGCTCGTCCCGCTGGAGACCCTGTGCGCCCGGGGAAGGTCGCTAACGCTGGTGCTCCGGCCACGGTAGGGTTGGGGGGTGCCCACCATGACCGCGTTTCTCGGCGGCTGGATGCTGTCGAAGACCCCCGCCGTCAAAGGCTGAGGGAAGGGCCGCTCGCTGCCGCTTGCCCTGGAGCCGCACCCGGAACAGATGCTATGCCGGCGCGGCTGCTTGCCGGCGCCGCTGGGTATGCCCCCGCCGCAACAACCACTGCTACCGCTGCCGCTGCTGTTGCCGTTGCTGCTGCCGCTAATCAAGGCAGCCGATAGCGGGGGCGCAGGGGGTAGCGACAGGCCGTTCCACCACGCCCCTGGCATACGTCTGTTGCCGGGGTCCATCGGCTCCGGTGGCGAGCGAGTTCTCGGCCGCGAGCGGCTGCGTGAGCGGCTGCGCGAGAGAGAACGACAGCGGGAGTTGTACGAGCCCGACAAGGCCGAAGAGCCGCCGCTGCCGCCGCCTGAGCAGGAGGATCCGCCACTACTAGCGCTGCCGCTGCCGCTGCTGCTGCTGCTGCTGCTGCTGCTGCTGCTGCTACTGCTCCGCCCCCCTCTCCCCTTCCCTTTCTCCTCCTCTTCGCCTTCATCTTCGGAGGAAGAACTTACGCTATCGCCGCCACCGCCGCCGCGGTTGCCGCTGCCGCTTCGTTTGCGGCGGACGCCGGGCGAAAGGTGAGCGCAGTCCTTGTCGCGGGTCGACTCGTCGTCGCTCTCGAACGCCCGCTGTTTGGGTGAGGGATTGCCAGCGAAAACGATGTTAGGGCGGGAGGTGACGAGGAACGAACGACTTGTTGAGAGAATGTCCGAATGGTCCCGCGCACTACTGCGAAGAACACGCGAGGGAAGAAAAGCTATAACAGTGCTGCCAACCGCCAGTAGATCAGAGCTGTAGTGGGAGATGCGCTTGGGGTCGTCACTCTCAGCTAATCGCGCGGCGATCAGTGAGCTTGTGCGCTTGCCTCCCGAATGGTCAGCCACGGAACGACGCTTTTCTCTTCGCTTCTGACACGAAGCGATAGTCGAGACCCCGCTGACTTTAAGCTGTCGTCCTGGGACAACCCAGCTTCCAGCCTTGCGCGTCATGCTTCAACGACGGGAATCCATGATGTGCCGTGACAATGCCGGCCAGAGCGATAAAAAATACCAGAAGAACGTTGGAGAGGACTTCCGACGAAGGTAACATTTCAAATCGAGTGTTCCCCCGGTCTCGTCGAACATGACCTTGGGACACAAGGAGCAGCGCCGATCGGGCAGCTCGGCGGCGTTTTGGTTTATTTGCTTCGTTCGAACCGTTGGTGGCACAACAATCGACACCCCCGGGACCGATTTTCAAATCTCGACTACACCACACCATACCATACCATACCATACCGTAGGTTGCACAAGATATCACACTCCCTGGATAGGTTTTCAAAGCTCGAATACTCCACGACGAAGAGGATGCCAAACTCAAACGATATCTTTTCGGAAAGATCTCCAGGGCACAAACGCGACGCCGCCATTTTCAGCACACTCACTCTTTCCACCGTGCGGAATAATCGAGATTTGAACATCACTTCAGGGGGGGTGGTATCTTGCGTCAGCTACCGTAGATATGTGCAAACGGATATGCCGAAGTATTGGGATCAATTCAGGGACCACACCTATGTGAATGCGAAGTACACACTCCGTGGCAATATCAAAAAGAAAAAACACGCGTATGCAAGCAAGAACTATCGAACATAGCATACTGTCACAGCCTCGAAGAACAACACTAAGGCTTGAACAATACAAAGACCTCCGTGGATGTCGCTTGTGGCAGAACCCTAGGAACTGCATAAGAACCCCGGCCTGTGCCGGAACCAGAGGCTCTGAATTGCGGACGCTATTTGAACCATAAACCCCTTCGAGAAGTCCCCCGTCCATGATCACGCCCCTCCCCCCCCCACAAAATACACAGATACCTTACATAGGTGAGTGAAGATACCACACCCCATCGGCCGATTTTCGAAGCGAGATTACTCCACAAAAGTAGAATGAGTGGCGATGCTGAGAAATGGCGGCGTTGCAACTGTGCTGTCGAGATCGAGATCTTTCCGAAAACAACTCTATCGGGTTTGGCGTCCTCTCCGTCTTGGAGAGAGTTAATAATAGCAGTGAAAATCGGTCCACGGGGTGTGGTATCTCGTCATCTATGGTACCACCGGCCGCGCGCACCAATTTTGAATAGCCACTGTTATATATTTTCGGTCACCCCCCCCGGCCCCGGGGCGTAGACAAAAAAACAAACGAAGGCGCACCAACGATATTTATAGAAATTCCGTCGAAAAACAATGGGATTGTATCCACCGGTGGGGGTCGAAGGCGCAAGATACGGCGGTCGCCCCCGGCTTGTTGATGTCTTCGCATGAAAACCGTTCCGGCCTCTGCTCGGAACCTCCTCGTCCGTACCGTTCCAACTGACTCAGGCCCTTCCCGGAGTGACAGACCAACTACCCAAGGAGGACAACGTGGTCCGCACGTCGAAAAACCCAAGGAAAAAGAAGAAACATCCAAGAAAAATCACCACAAGCACGAGGAAAAAACTTCTTCCAACACGCTGTCTCATGGAGATGTTGTTTAAGCCTGACATCGTAGGTTCCCCGGCGAGAAACCCGCGTGCGAAAAGGGTGTGCCCAGAACACGAAAAAGCAAGCAACAACAACCGGGCCATGGGGGCGCACTGTTTTTTGCCCGACGATCGCCCCGCTAGCAGGAACGTCCCGGGGGGGCCATCACACAATAACACGTCCACCTCCTACGGAATTATCGATTTTTCTTTTTCAGTAAACCTGCCTAGTGCCTACATGGTGTAAGACACACCACTAAAGACAAAGCATGAGGTAAACAGAGAAACAATGCCTTGTCACCGCCCGCCATGAAACTCACAACCCACATATTTCACAGCACAGCGGAGCGCATTGTAAATCGAAAATTAGACAAGAAGGGTGTTGTTGCCTGTTGTCTGGACCCCCTCTTTAAACCGCCGTGGCCGTCATATCAACACACCTCTATGATGACCTCCCGACGCCTGTGTAACTGCCGGAGCTCCTCCTCCACAGCCGCAATTTCCTCCTCTCCTCTCGCCGCGTCGTGCTGCGCCTCCAGGTCGCCAAGGGCCCTGTTTAAGCCGCTTATTTGGCGGTGGGGCCAACGCTTGACGCCGTGTCTCCGACACAGCCGCTTCAGCGTCGTGACCGAGATATGCATCGCCTGTTGGTCAAGGGCGTAGGGGGGGTAGGATCATGGGCACATGGTCGTCCTGTCTTTGTTGATCGTGTACGAAAACACAACACATTCATCGCTTCCACTTTTGGCTGGTTAGAGACCGCGATAGCCTGACTTTTTTCTTTGTTCCTCGCATTCTCGGTCAAATTGAAAGGTGCAACGAAGTAAGTCAGCTCTGTCCCTACATTGGCAACGATAGATTGGTAACGTAGCTTTCCTTTAGCTTGTGGGAGCAGCGGGCACCGAACACGCCGGAGGCTTGCGCGGTACCAATTGCCCAGCCTCCTGCTTTGAGCGTGAAAGCTTTCGTTATCGGCGAACGCGCGGCTAGTTTTGAGTAGCATATGTATATACATGTGCAAAAATCACGGCACGGATAAATGCTCAACCATGTTTCAATGGTGCGAAAATAAACACCGATTCTCAACTGGGGCATCACAGCCATGCTTACCGGAGGTGGCGTGCATGGTACTGGTGCTTCCTGCACACAACGACCAAGCCTTACATCCATGCTACCAACGTGCTCGAGGCTGATATCGGGCGGGGGGGTATGCGGCTATATGTTAAAACTCGTGCCATCCGTTAGTCGAGAGCATCACCCCCCCCCCTACATGTACGACTCTCTGCTTCAAAAGTCTACATCTCGAGTACCGAAACAACGACACATATGGAGAGAGGTATGGCACATGCGGAGTGTATCGAACTCTTGAATGCACGCCGTAGTGTCGTAGGGTGACTTGTTTCATCGTTGAAATTGCCGACCAACGAGAGATTGACATTTCATCCGCATCAGCGCACAAAAAAGCAAGATATTCATTGAAACGGCCATGTCAATACAAGCTTGCCAGCGCCAGACGTTCGAGCTGGATTGTTGCTCACCCGCACATGATCGAAAAATCCCCCTCCCACAGCATCGATCCACTACACCACTGCACAGTTGTTGCTCCACCTGAAAAGACACGCCCCCGCGAGAGGAAGGAACCGGCGTGTTCTACAAATAGTGCCAATATTGCCCGCCGTCTTTTGGATGAAAACATAATCACTGGTGCCATCATATTCCTCAGTGTAACACGTGCCTCGCCTCCACACATCAAAGCGACATGTTTACACGAATAACATGAACACAGGGCTTTCAAATTCAAACCGATGGGCGTGCAAGAACAACAAAGCGGCCCATTTTCGCGCGAATCTCATTTAGAGCGGGACGGTCTTGGTCAGGTACCATGCGGTTTGACGCCGCTGAAACGTCACTCGCTTAAGTTGATCGTTGACCATAGGTTTCGGTGGGTAATTTCAGCAGGTGCAGCAAACTCGGTTCTCTCGCAAAGGGTGTCTTGCAGGGGAGGGCTTCGTGTTGCCAAACACGCTCCTGTGTCAGTGCCAGCCTCCTCCCCCCTCTCTGTTGTGTGTTCTCCCTTGTGCAGCCTCGTGGCATGCGGCAGCATCTTTCACAGCAAGTTCGCTGCTATAAATACCAACCGCCACACCCTTCGGATCCATCGGATTTATTTTTGTGGACAAAGGTTGCAGGACTCCCACATGAGAGAAAGAGAAGTAAATACCAAGAGCACGGAAAGCACTGCCCACAGTCACTAAGTGGACCACAGCGAAGCCCCCCGAAAGCAAGGGAGGACAGAACCCAAAGCATGTACGTATAGGTGAGCGGTTGCGGTGCACCCCAAAAAAAACAGCGCGAGCTGCTGAACCGACATGCCAAGAACCCCGTACAGCACACAGCTCATCACTGCACAATACATACCTCCGCCGACACCCGCAAGGGATAATTGAAGTATTCCCGCATTAACTCCACCGGGATCCTCTTCGCGATGTCCGCGAGGACCTCTCTCTTGCTGCCCGCCTTGCTAACGTCCCGCGGCGGAAGCGTGGGCGGCTCATCGGGGATTCGAAGCCGACCGAGCGCAGGGCCCCGCCTATCTTCGGTGCCGTTGTTTCTGTTGTTTTTCGCCGCGGAGCGGCCCGACTTCTTGCTGCAAGAGCGACGGTGTTTGTCTTTTGGCATTCGAACTCCAGCCCCTGAACCTATCGCCAAGATCGCCTTCGATGGCCAGAGTGGGGGCGAGGCGAAGAGCGTGTGCTGTGTTTGCTGCCAGAATGCACGTGGGAGCAGCCAACGGCGGTTGTTGTTTTCATGTACTCGGCTCATGTCTGTGTGTGGTGTGCTGCTGATAAAAAAAGTCCACACACAACCAGGTGGCGTAATGCACACAAGACGAACGAGAGAGGCCGAGAGAAAGCGAAGAACACAGCCGAGTGGATGCTACACTGGCGATGGCCACGGTGTTTGGCTGGCTGAAGCTTGTAGCTCTGTACCTACGCTGGTTTGCTACACGCTAGCCCACACATGATAAACACACCGCCCGCAAGGGCACACCTGCGAGAACGCTGACCGCCAAGACACCACAACAACAGCGCTAGCAGTTCGGTAGCTGTCGAGCTGGCAGCTCAGCACAACAGCGCGCCTCACCTCTCACCCGTCTGGAGACTGTCAGGGTGCCTCGCCTGTTCGCGAGTACTGGGTAGAGGAAGCGAAGTGGTGTGGTGTGCGTCGGCGCGTGTCATAATCAACTTCACCGGAACTTCACCGACATCAGATACACGTTTGTTCTTTGATGTTGTACAACGTAAGACCAGCGGCACAATTACGTGTTCCACGTGGGTGGCCAACTAACTACATTACCACTTGAACACACAACAAGGGCGGTGCATTTCTTTCAGTTGTATGAGGTGCATGATTGCGATATGTAGAAATATTATCATACACTCTGCAGATTCTCCGCGGCGCTACAACGTAGCCTTGCCTTGCGGCCTGAACAATTTTACATCTATCTGGACATGGCCAAACCCGCAGGGCAAATGCCTTCTCTCAAGAGATCTCGGTGCACCACGGGCCGGCAGCGGCACGAAAATAATGATCAAACAGCAGTTGCAATTAAGGACGGGGCCGGTGAATGTACAACTTTTGCACATGCAATGCCGCGGCTGATTGCTGGGCTGGTCATCTCGTGATCAATGCATATACTGCTGTAATATAGTCCCGCGGGGAAGAGTCCAACAGTCGGCGTTGGGCTTTGCACCCTTCCTTCTCTGGATTACGGAAGGAAGCATTCGGTGTCAACATATAATTATGTTGGAGCAGCGGATTTCTTCGTCGAGCCTGAGATTTTTGGACTGTAGACTATATAAATAGCAACTGACACGAGTTATTGTGAAGAAAAACAACAACACGGCATCGTCTGCGTCTCTCTTGTTCTAGTCGACTGTAGGGGTATGGTATACTGTGCTGCTGTCATGCGGTAGGGGTAGGGTGTGTGGCGTATTTGTGTTGAGAATTTGCGTGTGTTTGGCCGCTCTCACGGGAGAGGGTGACGGCAGGACCCGCACTTATACAGAGTCAGGCGGAGACCAAACCCGCACTATAGAGGCACTACGCGAATTGTGCGGCACCCGCACTATTGAGAGGTCGAAGTCGTGTCAGGCAAAAACACCCGCACTATACCGACTCACCCGCACTACATAACCCGCACTATACCGGCAACTCGACTGTATGGTGCAGCAGTAGTAATCGCCTTCCACCCCGACAGATGCCCAGGTAAGGTGTCTGGTTCATGTTCGTAGCATGAGTGCTTCTCCTTGCCGCCGTTTGTCATTTTTTTCATCATCATCATATTATTATTATTATTATTTTTGACACAGCGAGTCCATCTATCATAAGAGTGCGCAAGCGTACCGGAAAACCCACGAAACGGGCAAACGGCGTGCTGCGTGACGCAAAGAGAAAGGCACGCGCTGCATGTACGCGGTTTTGTATGCCTTCGGGACACGTTTGTTTTCGCTTTCGACAACCCCAAAAGGCGTGAAAATACGCTACGACGGAAAGTTTTACCTCTCGCCCTCGACCTGGGAAAAGCGCGAAACCAAGACCGCAAATGAACGTCACCCGCCCCGCGAACTACGCGCATCTCCCGCCGAAGCTAGCATCTCTCGCTGTAATCTCTCCTTCATCCCAAGCACCTTGCGCGTTAACCACCTAGGGGACACAAACATTTTTCCTCCCTTGCCACATCCAGCAGCTGTTGCCTGATGCACTGCGACAAAGCCCAGCGGGTTTCACGAATTTCCAACTGTTGCTACTGCTCGCGGTGACGACCAAAATTATCAAGCGGTATGCTGTAGCAAAAAAAAGGACAGAGCGCAATACACGCCACCACGTACAGACCGAACCTGTTGCAAGAATGCAAGAGTGAGCGTGTTCGCGACAATGAAGCCGATGGGAGTCACACAATAGGAGCGAAAAAGTTTACTTCGGGCACATACAAAGTAAGTAAGCAACGCCCGCAACAGCTGTCAGGCGCGCAGTCCTACATGCCTCACAAGACCAAGCATGGCCCATTACGGTATGAAATTGACCGCGAGCCTAGGGCAATCGGGACGGAAAATTGCATACTCAGTAGGCGGAATACGAAACCACCCCGTGGGTCCAAGGCCGCCCTCAACTGACAAAAAAAGTCCCCCCCCCCTCCCCCCCCCCAAACCATTTTCTTTGTTTCGGTAGGGCCGCTCGCCCTTGGTGTGTACAAAACCGCGCCGCATGAACCATCTCTATGAACCCTCGTTGATGAAAGACGGCTTCTACTTCTACCCCACGACTGAAAAAACAAGGCGGCAGCACACACCCCGCCGCCCACATTCCTCAAGTCACAATTTACGTTTTCCAACGTACCAAAAACTGCAGGTCGGAAAAGCGCGATCTGTCAACGCTCTCCCTACCCATCCGCGGGTCGGCGTCGCGAGAAGATCCACTGGGGACACTATGCCGACAGGGCCGCTGCGCTGGCCGCTCGGAGCTACTCTTGCCAATCCCCGGCGGTCCTGACACTATTTAGCTCGCTCTATTGAAATTTGTCGGCGGCGTTGCCAACGATCTCATAGTATTCACCCGCGCCCTTTTCGCCCGCCTCGTAGTCGTCCGCCGTCCAGCCCTTGCGAAAAAAAAGTGCAGGAATGAGGGGGGGGAGGGTGTACTCATAGTCGTGCATGCCGTAGTCGTTAGACCATTGACCTCGCATCCCTACAAAGCCGGGACGGAGCACGCCGGGTTCTCACCNTGCTAAGGGTTTTCGGCATCTTGTGCTTACTTCCTTGCGTTCGGATGACAGCTGCGTATGACGTGATTTACTTTCTGGTGCTTTCACTTCCAGAGACAGTTGTAAGCACTGTGTAACTGCCTCGAGGGTGCTTGACCATTTTAACACAACGTGGTGCGATCATCCCCCCTGCGCGGAGTGAGGGTTCTCGACCCCGCACAACATGATCTACTCGACCACCATTATGGTTATACCGCCAAAAAAAAAAAACCGGTAACCTGGTTGCCGAGTTTACGAAGTGAATTGGCTTGTTTTACAACGTCATTGCCAAGCGAGAAAACCCAACCCCGATGGCAAATACCGAGAGGGGGGGACGCGAGGGAGGGAGGGTACAAATGTTTTGCATTTCTTGGCGGTTAGAGGATTCACCACGCGTCCTCCACAGGACGGAGCATTGTTCCCACAGCAACGATCACGGGGTGGGCTCACCAAGTGTTTGTAGTATGGTCTCTGGAGCAACGGGCATGGGTGGTTGTTTCAGAAAAAGAACATACTTTCCACAGAATTGTTACAGACATAAGTCGCTGGTATTTTGCTAGGGTCATTTTCCATACTCCAGGGTGGGAAGCACAACTGAGTCGCGGATGGCACGGTCTCAAACCGCCTTGTTGGTGTTGTCTTCACAACAAGAACCGTTCCGATCTCTTTGCCTAGTACCTTCCTCTGTCCGTATTGATGTACCACGTGACGCTGTCGGTCCCCATGGTCACAGGCTAACCTACCCTAGAAGGGTGCTCAAATAAAACGGCTAATGATCCGCGGCGCGTGGGACCTTCTACGGGGAGCCTATTTCGTGATATGTATTGCGCGCAGCCGTCAGACAACGGGACAGGAGCAAGGCGCCGACAGCTGCTTTCGGGAAAGCTCTCCCCGAGGAATACCTCCTCCCCGCAACATGCGTGCACACATTGTCGCGACATCTTTCTCTCTCTCTCTCTCTCTCTCTCTCTCTCTCTCTCTCTCTCTCTCTCTCTNTCTCTCTCTCTCTCTCTCTCTCTGCACGTTCTGCAAATTTTAGTGCGAGAGCGCTCTCAACCTACCGCCCTCGTGAAAAATCCCAGCAGAACCCAGGCAATTAATAGATTGTTCAAAAGGTTGCCGAGAAAACGGGTTCCTGAGACGCCCCGAGGACGTCACATGAGTAGCATTCGTGCCTGATTCGACCTAGGAGGGCGGCTCGTGGCAACGGGCTGCCTACGGCACATGGACGAAGACCAAGCGAAGCAGCAAGAACGACAGTTGTCGAAATCAAAACGACATCAACGCCCAAGCACGCCGCCGCACCTGCTTCTGGATAGCGAGGAGGTGCTCCTGAGCGTCGATGTGGGCCTGGGACCGGAACTTTCGGAGGTTCGACCGCGCCTCCGGCGTGACCTGAGTATGCATCAACCACGGTGCAGCAGGCGGGATTTGATTAATACCGTCGCATTGCCGCACCAGACGAAAAAAAAATGCGTACGGTGCCAAACAGGGAGTAACTGAACACGAGAAATTGGATCCCACAATCGACACAACGAAATTTGCAACACCCCAGGCACAAGACTGGAGGACCTGACCCTGAGCCGGCAACGACATCAGAAGCGCGCGCGTTCTCCCATCACTCTCTGTGACAACATGATTAACGACAGCAGCTAACGAGAGTAACTACCAATCCTAGACCTGATCTATGGAAAATAGGTGAACGCACTCGGTTGTGTTGTGTTGAGAAACATGAAGCTGTTGTGTTACGTCACGTCAAAAAAAAAACGGGTAGGGGTGGCTCCAACCTCCTGCTCAGCTCCTCACCTTCCCGCCGGCGAGCTCGCGCGACACCAGCGCTTCGTACTCGAGGAAACGCGCCGACCCGTCCCGCGGGGCCTTGTTTTGCTGGAAACCCATGAAGTACTCCTCCTCGGTCCAGCCCTGCTCCTTGAGGAAACCCTTGTGGACTTCGTCGGAGATGTGGTGCGTTTCGCGGTACCTAGATTAATGTGGCGCGATCGTGTTCACAGCAAGATAGGGTGGTAAGGGGGGCGTGTGACATTGGGCGGGGGGGGGGGGGGGGGGG